AATCTATATGGATCACAAACAAACCAACGTGTAATCAATAATTGATATTCAGTCACTTGCAGCTGTGCTTCTCGGAGCAAATATTACATAAAAAGAATGATTTGCATGAAATCAGTCCAAGAAGAAGAAAACTAGAAAAGGTTCATGATTTCTGTATGTGACACGTCTCTGTAGGACCCTGACTCCCGGACATACTTTGGCACTATGGAGGCGAAACACTGCCTCCCTCTGGCTGCTGCGAGCACAGACACCCACACGGCCCAGACATGACACCGCCTGCAGGCTCTCGTGTTATTAATTCTTTCATTTGTGGACTATTGTTCTGTCTGCTGGTTTTATTGTAACCACAGTGACAAAGGCTCCTGAACACGAGCCCATTGTTCCTGATTCCTGCTGACAGGCGATGTAAACCCAATCAACAGTCAGAATTTTGTTAAACTGCTCTCACAGAAACACTTAAAGTTTAATCAGTTTGACTCCTGTCTTTTGTACTCAGAGGTCTGGATCCTGGATTTAGAGGGGAAACACTTCCCGTCTGTTTTGGAAACTTGTAAATCTGTCCCCACATTTCAGAAACCGTTGGCTGGTCACAGAAACTCTCAGAGTGAAGACGAAACCTTAAATGGTGCAAAGGGAAGTTAATGCAGACTGCTCGAGCTCGGTGACCCGACCGTCGTTTCCGTCGTTGTGACCTCTAAGTGATTAGACACATTTACCCCTACGGAGGAGCTGCATGGTTGTAAAGCAGCCCACAGCAAAGTCATTACAACCTTACATCGTGATGACCTTTAGACATTTCTTTGGTGTAGAGGATCATTTGGGGATGTAACTCCTGTCTGCTGTAACTATAACAACGACAGTAAACGCACAGAGGATAAACAAACAGGCTTCACAGAATAATGGAGGCAGGTTCACAGAAGCTGAAGAAGGCGTGCCGCCTACTGCAACAAACAACTGTCAACTACAGCGATCGGCCACAACGACACAAACGTGTGGCTCTGACACATACGACCCGTCAGGTGGACGAAATCCACGGACGCACCACCCGACATCCTCAAAGGAACCAGCCAATCCGCTGCAAGAATCCCAGTTCCAGACACTGCAGGACACCCAGCCCCCCACCAACACCCCAAGGTGGTGCATCCACGCCCTAATGGGCGAGTGTTCATGCCTGACAGTGGTGACCGACACACTGTCAGGCATTCAGAGAGCAAAAGCCCTGGCCTGCACAAAAAACACCTCATCACCAACCGTGTAAAACAGACAAGAAATAACATTTGTTTTAAATAAAAATAGATTTTCTCTTTAATTTAAATTACATTTGAGTCGACAAAGCACAGCAAAGTTCTGGTCCTGAGCTCCTTCATAGCAACAAAAAGCGAACCCCAGCAGATCTGTGCAGGAACGTCAGTTTAGGAAACGGAAACCTCAAAACTCTGTTTTCACTGAGCTGCTGAGATTCGGGTCTTACTCAGTCGCTCGCGGCGAGACGCTCGGAGGAAGTCGAACAGTCTCACGTGTCGTCGGTAAAAACTTGCCCCAGGATGGAGAGCCGAGCGCTGAACGGCTGAACGGGGCAGGACAGCAGAGGGGGCGTCTTCTTCTCTCCGGGTTTCAAAGCAATGCTCTCCGATTGGCTGCCCCCCTCTGTCTGTTTGGGAGGGGGTTTTGATTGGCTGCCGGGCTGCGACAGGGTGAGCAGGATGTCTTGTAGCTCCTGGCGGTCCTGGTCGTGCTGGCCGCAGCAGTACAGCGCCGCCGGGTCCAGAGGGTGAGCCTCCGTGTTAAAGATGAACCCCCCTGCCCCTAACACACACTCCCCCGCCTCCCCACCCTCCTCCCACGACCCGTCCCCCTCCGTCCCTCCGCCGTGCAGAAAGTGGGTGGGGTCAAAGAGCAGGTAGAGGTACTTGATGGTTTCAGCTAGAAAGAAGGATTCCATCCTGTTGTCCAGCTGGTGATCTCGCAGGTCTTTAACCTGCAGGAAGACGAGCGAGGAAAACTTTACTCGTGAGCTCTTTTTAATCACGAGCACTTCAAAGTGATAACTAAGGCCAGCCAATCAAACTGATAGTGGGACTTACGCTGGCATATCCACACGGCGTCTTGGCGATCTTCTCGATGGACTCCAGAGCGTCGACGCCCAGCTGGAGATAGGTGTGATCACCTGTTGCCCTGAACAGGTACATCGCGCTCTCGATTAACTCTGAAACACGTAGGAAGAAGGAAGATCAGCTGGTTTGTTACTTAAAGTTGCTCAGAAAACAACCAAAAACTAGACTCCGGAGTTTTATGACACCCAGGTAACTGACATCAGCGCCTTCAAGGTTCATCTCCATGCATGTCCTGAAAGGTAGTAGTTCATATCTGAAGCTTTGGTTTGAGGGGGTGGGACGTGATGAGGGCTGGACTCAGGAGCAACACTGTGCGTGTATAATAATACACAATAAATAAATCACAATAAATTTTATAGCGATGAAGCTCTGTGTTGTTGCCCATCTCAGAAAGCATTACTCACCTTAGCTCAGATTATCTCAAGACACTAAACATCAACCAGCTTCCCATCGCTCCCTGAAGCTGATAAATATTAGTCTGAATGAGCTCCGACTGTAACCTTTGACCCTGAAGACAGAACGCGATAGGCGGAGGGTGTTAGTGGACTGACCTGGTCTCAGTGGGTAGCCCTCTCTCTTATCCACAGTGTAACCCTGAGGGATGCTGTAAAACTCAGGCAGTCCTCCAAACTGTCTCCACACAGAATAATAATTCTGGAAAGTTCTCACAGCACTGTCCAGGTTTCCCAGCAGAGACTGAAACACAGATTTAACTTTGTTTGTATGTTAACAGCCTCCAGTTACAGACTTGTGTTTGTGCGTTCACTCACCTGCAGGCCGGGCCAGAAGGCCTCCAGACTCTGGAAAATGGGCATGGACACAGTTCCTTTGTGCATCTGCACCCACAGGTACCAGTCGTCAAAGCGGGTGTAGTTCTGGATGGCTCGATCATACGCTGATAAAAGACATCGCAGGATTAGAGATCAGATGTTTGGTTTTCCTTCTGTTTGTTAGCACAGAGGCATCAAATGAAGCTTTCACAAAACTTTTGCCAGAAAGTGCAGAAGTTATGCAGCTGGAACCATCGGACAAACCAACCCTGACGACTACTTACAGGCTAGAAAAAATATTTTATTTGTCTCCACAAATCAAACTTTTTTTTAACTAAAACAGGAAATTGCTTAGCAGCTGTCAGGAGGAAGCGCTGTGACTGTTACCCTGGAACATGCTGAGCAGCTCTTCATCCTGCAGCATAACGGCTCCTTTGACCAGATACTCGAAGTACGAGTCGACTCCCGCGCCAATACCAGCATCCTGAGCGACCCACTTCGTGGACACGATGTCAATGTGGTTCCCCACCTGGGCGGGCAGACAGGTGACAGAAACAGGTAGGAGGGCTGTTCCTTTATTATCGACTGATTCAGCTCCTTCACCAGCTCCAGGACTGCTGTGATTCTCCTCCACAGAAACATTTATATAGAATCATCATATTTAAATGTTTTTCAATTTATTTCACTGACTAGCCAAGGAAGACGAGCTGGCCTATCAGTGGCTCACCCTATACAAATGCTCATGTTGGGCCTTTTCCGACTTTAGCTGCCATGTTTGCACTTTGGGTTGGATGTGAGTGGACGGTTGTAGCAGACACTTTATTTACCAGTCCGATGTCAGATCTGGTCTTCCACAGGGTTCTCAGGGCTCGGCGGGCGACGTTCTCAAATGTCGGGTCTCCCGTTAGTCGACTCAGTGTGGCGAACTCCAGGATGAAGGTTCCCACGCCAGCGGTACAGGTGACCGGTGTCTCAGTGGGACTGACGCCACGCAGAAGGTTCACCGTACCGTACGGCATGCCGGTGGGAGTCTCAAACGCTGATTTATTGTTGAGACAAATTTCACTGATTTATTCATGTGTGCTTTTCAAAGTAGTTCATTAAAACTAGAGAGTCTGAAACGCCAGAACACACCAGGCAGCAGCTTCCTGGCGGCGTCCTCGGCCATCCTCAGCAGCGGTCCTGAGCAGGGCCACCCGGGCTCCAGCTCCATTCCCGCCCTCTGCGCCAAGAGATGGGCTGACAGCAGACCGCCCACAACTACAAACACACACACACACACACATTAACCTGAGGTGGACACTCTCCTTTGCCACCGCTCCTGCGCCCAGATGTGCAGTGTTTATAAAAGCAGCAGTTTAAATGTTGAACATGAGTTTCCCCTCAGAGTCCGAATCGTCCGTCAGTACCTCT